CCCTACTTAGGTGTAGATTTTTAAAAAAAATATATATATATTTCAGAGGCTGTCCTGTATATTAATAATATTGGTTGTCCTCTAGTCGGTCAAGAGGATGCAAATATCGGAAGTTATATCCCATGCTCAGAATATAGAGCCACATAAAGTTAGATTTTCTTGGATGTTGTGTAGGTTATCATATGGGTATCTGCCACGTCCGACTATACTGCTCCGCTCATTGGTGTAAAAATATTTTTGAGAGACTTGCCCCTACTTAGGTGTAGATTTTTTAAATAATATTTTTCAGAGGTCTTGAAAAATGTTTTTCTGAGATCCTGAGATATTTTTCAAGATACTTTCTGAAGCCTTGGATTTTTTTTAAATAAGTTAAGAGGTTCTTTCTGAAGGCGTGGATTTTCTTAATATCTTTCGGGTCCCTCCTGATGCCCTGTATTTTTTAAAATATTTTTAGAGGGTCCTTCTGCAGGCCTGGATTTCTTTTTTTTTTTAATTAATATTATCCATGGGTTATCTTCGATTAAATTTCCTAAAAGTACCTCTGATCTCTTTTTTAATTGAACTCGGCGTTCTTGTGGTCGTATTCTTGTTATTAATAGAAATTCCTTCGGTGAGTATGAATGATGTGTAAGAATATATTTCAAATAACTCATACGTCAAATATGTCATTTCATATAATTGTTAAAGGCAGTGAAAGGAAATAAATAGAATTTTTAACACAAAATTTAATTTAAAAATACAAGTTACTCTTCTTTGTCCTGTTTCCCTTCCCGATACAGAAAATGGTTAAAATTGCAACGACAGCCAGACAGACAGTCAGGCAATTCTGATATCTGACAGTTAATTTAAAGAATAAATCAAAAAAAGCAGGAGGGAGGTGGAGGAGTGCCAAAGAAACACTTGATTTCATTTCCACACTTCAGCGAAGGCTCTTCTAGGCGGAGCAGCTGCACTGACAAACAAGGCACGAGTAACCAACATTCTTTGTTTTCTCTTTTAATTGGGGGAAAAATTGTTAAAGAAAGGGGTAAGAAAAGAGGATAGGGGGTGTTGAAACAAATCAAGTGGCAAGCTTCGTCGTCGTCTTCATCAACCACCCGACAGTTCGTTGCTCACAACAACGTCAACTTTTTTGTCAATCTCAAAGCAGAAAAAGTGATTAAAAAGAAATAAACAACAATGGTGTCATGCATTTTTCAACAGCTCCCCCTCACCCCCCTTCATCACTTCTCCTCCTTGCCCCCACCTTGGGGATTTTTGGAGGCAAACGAATGAAATGCATTTATTTTTAAATAAACTCAATTGTGTTCATTCATCAGACAACAATTTGCTGCAGTCGGTTGGGTCGGTATGGCTTGATAATAGGAATGGGTGAAGGAGGGCCGACTATGGTGGTCAAAGCTACTAACAAACAGCAGGATAAAAGACATTTGTGGGTAAACAGGATAACAGACAGCCGGAGTGTGTGTGTGAGTGTTGTCATAACGTCACTGCATGATGCAATTTGTGTGTGTGTGTGTTGATAAAGGAATTTCTTCTACCACTACAAAGGATTGCAAAAGGACGAAAAGGGATCCTCTTCCTTCTCCTCGTCACAGAACAATGGCAGAAAAATTGCAAGGACAGTCATTATGCTTGGAGGACCAACCCACCTATCTCTCACCCCCTAGGTTTCCTTTGGTTTGGGTTAATTTCTTGGTAGACATTGTGACTCGCTTTGTAATTTGTGAAACTTGTTTGTTGTTGTTGCTATTTCTGCTTCCGTTGTAATTTTCTTTTTTATTTTATTACACATTAGCAAATGGTGTAAAGTCACGCACATTTCTCTCAGCAGGAGGTTTGATATATGATATGTGGTTGGCTGGCTGGTTGGTTGGTCAGGACATAATTAAGAAAGGGTGGTGGGAAGGTGTTGTGATTTCAAAGCAAACATCGGCAATTTTGACTACACAGAAAAAATAATAAAATTTTAGGTCTCAGTTCCGAAAAAAATAAAAAAATATTTTCCACATCAGACCTCAGAGAAATATTTTTAAAAAATCCACGCCCTGGTGGAGACCATGGATGGACCTCAGAAAAATATTTTGAAAAAAAACCGAAACTTGGTGGAGACCATGGATGGACCTCAGAAAAATATTTTTAAAAAATCCACGCCTTGGTGGAGACCATGAATGGACCTCAGAAAAATATTTTTAAAAAATCCACGCCTTGGTGGAGACCATGAATGGACCTCAGAAAAATATTTTGAAAAAAAAACCGAAACTTGGTGGAGACCATGGATGGACCTCAGAAAAATATTTTTAAAAAATATACGCCTTGGTGGATGGACCTCAGAAAAATATTTTTAAAAAATCCACGCCTTGGTGGATGGACCTCAGAAAAATATTTTTAAAAAATCCAAGCCTTGGTGGATGGACCTCAGAAAAATATTTTTAAAAAATCCACGCCTTGGTGGATGGACCTCAGAAAAATATTTTTAAAAAATCCACGCCTTGGTGGATGGACCTCAGAAAAATATTTTTAAAAAATCCACGCCTTGGTGGATGGACCTCAGAAAAATATTTTTAAAAAATCCACGCCTTGGTGGATGGACCTCAGAAAAATATTTTTAAAAAATCCACGCCTTGGTGGATGGACCTCAGAAAAATATTTTTAAAAAATCCACGCCTTGGTGGATGGACCTCAGAAAAATATTTTTAAAAAATCCAAACCTCAGAAAAATATTTTTAAAAAATCCACGCCTTGGTGGATGGACCTCAGAAAAATATTTTTAAAAAATCCACGCCTTGGTGGATGGACCTCAGAAAAATATTTTTAAAAAATCCACGCCTTGGTGGATGGACCTCAGAAAAATATTTTTATTTTTAAAAAATCCACGCCTTGGTGGATGGACCTCAGAAAAATATTTTTAAAAAATCCACGCCTTGGTGGATGGACCTCAGAAAAATATTTTTAAAAAATCCACGCCTTGGTGGATGGACCTCAGAAAAATATTTTTAAAAAATCCACGCCTTGGTGGATGGACCTCAGAAAAATATTTTTAAAAAATCCACGCCTTGGTGGATGGACCTCAGAAAAATATTTTTAAAAAATCCACGCCTTGGTGGATGGACCTCAGAAAAATATTTTTAAAAAATCCACGCCTTGGTGGATGGACCTCAGAAAAATATTTTTAAAAAATCCACGCCTTGGTGGATGGACCTCAGAAAAATATTTTTAAAAAATCCACGCCTTGGTGGATGGACCTCAGAAAAATATTTTTAAAAAATCCACGCCTTGGTGGATGGACCTCAGAAAAATATTTTTAAAAAATCCACGCCTTGGTGGATGGACCTCAGAAAAATATTTTTAAAAAATCCACGCCTTGGTGGATGGACCTCAGAAAAATATTTTTAAAAAATCCACGCCTTGGTGGAGACCATGGATGGACCTCAGAAAAATATTTTTAAAAAATCCACGCCTTGGTGGATGGACCTCAGAAAAATATTTTTAAAAAATCCACGCCTTGGTGGAGACCATAGATGGACCTCAGAAAAATATTTTTAAAAAATCCACGCCTTGGTGGAGACCATAGATGGACCTCAGAAAAATATTTTTAAAAAATCCACGCCTTGGTGGAGACCATGGATGGACCTCAGAAAAATATTTTTAAAAAATCCACGCCTTGGTGATATTTTTAAAAAATCCACGCCTTGGTGGATGGACCTCAGAAAAATATTTTTAAAAAATCCACGCCTTGGTGGATGGACCTCAGAAAAATATTTTTAAAAAATCCACGCCTTGGTGGATGGACCTCAGAAAAATATTTTTAAAAAATCCACGCCTTGGTGGATGGACCTCAGAAAAATATTTTTAAAAAATCCACGCCTTGGTGGATGGACCTCAGAAAAATATTTTTAAAAAATCCACGCCTTGGTGGATGGACCTCAGAAAAATATTTTTAAAAAATCCACGCCTTGGTGGATGGACCTCAGAAAAATATTTTAAAAAAATCCACGCCTTGGTGGAGACCATGGATGGACCTAAAAAAATATTTTTAAAAAATCCACGCCTTGGTGGAGACCATGGATGGTCCTAAAAAAATATTTTTAAAAAATCCACGCCTTGGTGGAGACCATAGATGGACCTCAGAAAAATATTTTTAAAAAATCCACGCCTTGGTGGAGACCATGGATGGACCTAAACAAATATTTTTAAAAAATCCACGCCTTGGTGGAGACCATGGATGGTCCTAAAAAAATATTTTTAAAAAATCCACGCCTTGGTGGAGACCATAGATGGACCTCAGAAAAATATTTTTAAAAAATCCACGCCTTGGTGGAGACCATGGATGGACCTCAGAAAAATATCCACGCCTTGTTGGAGACCAAGGATGGACCTCAGAAAAATATTTTAAAAAAATCCACGCCTTTTTGGAGACCAAGGATGGACCTCAGACAAATATTTTTAAAAAATCCACGCCTTGTTGAAGACCATGGATGGACCTCAGAAAAATATTTTTAAAAAATCCACGCCTTGGTGGAGACCATGGATGGACCTCAGAAAAATATCCACGCCTTGTTGGAGACCAAGGATGGACCTCAGAAAAATATTTTAAAAAAATCCACGCCTTTTTGGAGACCAAGGATGGACCTCAGACAAATATTTTTAAAAAATCCACGCCTTGTTGAAGACCATGGATGGACCTCAGAAAAATATTTTTAAAAAATCCACGCCTTGGTGGAGACCATGTATGGACCTCAGAAAAATATTTTTAAAAAATTCACGCCTTTGGTCGGACCTTTGAAAAATATTTTAAAAAAATTCACGCCTAAGGACCTTACAAAAATATTTTTAAAAAATAAATCAAAATAAATTCCAGGCCTATCCGTAGATAAGACCTTGGGATACTAGATTTTTTATAAAAACCTTTGTGTATTTATTTCAGAACTTTTCGAAAACTTGTTGTAATTGTATAAAATAGTATCGACGTATGAGCCGAGTGTCCTTGAAAAACTTACCTCTGGGGACATACCCCCCACAAAATTAATTTTCCCAAAAATAGATCTTCTCGGATGTTTACATAGGGTTCTTACCTAAAATAAAGGAAGGGGATAAGAAATAGGAAGACGTTAGTAGGATCTAGGGTAAAATTTTGAAAGCAGATTGCCAAATTATGTAGTGCTCGAATACAAAAGACGAAAAAACGAAACAAAAATTTCGAAAACATAGTCCAAAATTTATTAAAAAAAAAAAACTGAAAACTAATGAAAGATTTAAATTGAAAAAACATTAAAAAATATTTCAAAAAAATTAAATTCAAGACAAAAAAAATACAAATTTTATACAAAAGAGAAGTGAACTATTTATTTCGTTCCAGGATTTTACCAACCAAATGGAAACGAAATTGCAACCAAAACATTTCATTTTCCACTTCCTAAGTTTATTTTTTATTTTTATTTATTTATTTATTTATTTATTTTTTTTTTTTTTTTTTTTGATTTTTTTATGGAAAACGAATCAAAGTGAAATCAACGACGACGACGACAACGAAGCGAATGAATGAAATGCAAACAAACGAATGAAATGCCACTTGAAAATCTTGTTTGCATGTCAGAGTCTTACGACGATTTTGTCCAACTGTCTGTTATTCTGTCATTTCAAGTGGAAGGTACGAACCCCCTCTCCGACATGTGTTGGCGGAGCTGCTGCTGCTACACCATCGTTGTAATGCCACATTTCTTTTTAAACTTTTGATTAAATAAAATATTTATAGAGAGACTGAATAGTCAGTTAGTGAGGACGAGGAAAATACATTTGCACACACATACACACAAAACTTCAAATGTAAATGATACTCTGTAACAGCAACAGGATTTAAATAGCTAATGTCCCTTCTTCTCTTGGAGGTTGGAGAAAATTAAAGTCATACATAAGAAACAGATTTCTTAAAAAAGAAATAAAATGTTTAAAAATATTTGAAAAAAAACACGCCTGCCAAAGGACCATTGAAAAATATTTTGAAAAAATTCAAGCCTATGGAAGGACCTGAAATTCCACGTTTAAGGAAGGACCTTAGAAAAATATTTTTTAAATATCCATGCCTAAGGAAGGACAATAGAAAAATATTTTTAAAAAATCCACGCCTCAGAATTTTTTTTTTTAATTCAAGCCTTAGAAATTTTTTAAAACCCACGCCTTAATTTTTTTTTAAATCTACGCCTTAGAAATTTTTTAAAATCCACGCCTTATTTTTTTTTAAATCTACGCCTTAAATTTTTTTTTTTTTAATCCACGCCTTAAATTCTTTTTTTAAATCCACGCCTTAAATTCTTTTTTTAAATCCACGCCTTAGACATTTTTTAAAATCCACGGCTTAATTTTTTTTTTAAATCTACGCCTTAGAATTTTTTAAATTCACGCCTTAAATTTTTTTTTAATCCACGCCTTAGAATTTTTTAAATCCACGCCTTAATTTTTTTTAAATCCACAAAAAATCCACGCCCTAGAAACATATTTTTAAAAAATCCACGCCCTAGAAAAATATTTTGAAAAAATCCAAGCCTTAGAAAAATACTTTTAAAAAATCCACGCCTTATTCACGCCTAAGTAGACCATACAAAAATATTTTTAAACCAGTGAGTGGAGCAGAATAGTCGGACGGGGCCGACCATATGATACCCTACACAACTACCATTAAAATCTAACTTTCTGTGGGAAATCTAACTTTCGGTGAGCCTTATTACCGATTATATATGACCGATTATAGGTCAACAGCTCGATTTTCTAACCTTGGCATATTTTCAAAACCTTGTTTTCCCGAAGTGGATATTTCTCCGCCATAATATAAAAATTTGGTCACTTTAGATTTTGGTTGATTTTACCCTCGGAATATTGACCGATCATCATATATTTTAAATATTTGCTCAGATCCCCGTTACCGTGCAAAATATGGAGTGACTAGCAAATCTGACAAAAATAAAGTTTTCAGTTCATTGCAACCCCTAAATATTATCTCAACATCACCGAAAATTATAGACGTCGTCCTTGACCATAACCGGAATCTCATGGAAAATTTTAAAGCGATCAGCGCTATATTTACGCCCTCTAGTGTTGTAATAGGTTACTAAGTAATATATGAATACGTAAGCACCTGTAAATATTTAGATGTAACTCCCACATCCGAGTACATACAACCGCATAATTGGTATGAAATTAGAGGTCAACAACTCCTCTTCTCGGGTCTATGTCCTTCAGGGGTGAATAAATACGCTATAGAATAAAAATTTTGTCATTTTTTACACAAAAGTCAGGGTCCATTTGACCCGCTAAATATTGACCGATCTTTATCAAAACAGGCATGCTTATTCTTTGGCCCGATCCCCTTCTCCATGTAAAAATTCGCGATGTTTGTGCCAATGTGTAATTGCGGCCTCTGGAGCGACTAGAAAATGAGAAAAAAAAAATGAAGAATTTGGTCCATTTCATCCCCTAAATATTAACCGATCTTTACCAAAAACAATAGGGATCTTCATTGGTCAGAACCCATCCTACATGCAAAATTTGATTGATCCATACTTGTGGCCTACATCGTGTTTACAAATTATAATGGACAGACGGATGGACGGACACATGTCTAGATCGACTAGTCTAGCTAGTCGAGATATGACGATCGGTATACTTAAAGGTGGGTCTAGAACCAATCTTTCGCGGCGTTGAAAACTTTTGGGGCTGCACAAAGCTATAATACCCTGACAACATAGTTGTGTAGGGTGTACAAATCCACGCCTATGGAAGGACCTTAGAAAAATATTTTTAAAAAATTAACACCTGACGAAAAACCATAGAATAATATTTTTAACATTTTTTTAATATAAAAAATATTTTTTTTTAATATTTATTTTTTTTTAATCCAATTTTTTTATTTTTAACCCATTGTGCATGGTTTCTAGAAAAAGAATATAAATAATTTTTCAAAAATATAATTCTCATTTTCCCTTTCATTGACAAAACAATTCTATATTTTCTTTTGTTAATTCACATCTGCCAAACAATGCCCGTCCACATCCATATTGCGGAACTTCGTGTGTTAAAAACTAATTACTTTCGCTCCAATAACTTTAAATTTTCTTCAAATTTGATTTCCACTTGTTGTTGTTGCCAAATTACGAAGAGGAGTTCATGTAAGTTGCAGTCTCCTCCAACCGAAAACACATCTGGCGGAAGACAGGCAAGCAACCCAGCCAGTCTGATTATTCATTCATTTATCCTTAATACGGTCACACAGAGAGAATATGAAGCAACAACAACAAAACTGAAAGAATGGAGAAATTTTCTTCTCCATTTGTTGTACAATTTAATGCAATTAAATTAAATAAAAAGATGAAAAAAATTATTTTTTTTTCAACACGAACAAAATTAACACTTGTGTGTCCGACACCCTCAACAGCAGCAGCAGAGATTGAAATCACAGAACGACACTTTAGCTGAGTTTCTGTTTCTATTCTCATGGCTGCGGCGCTACGAAGGTGGTCGGTCGTCTGCTATACACGGGATATACACGATAATTGAGGCAACATCTGATGATCTGATATCGTTGTGTGAATGGGAAGATGGAATATAAGTAGTGCCATATTCTATGGAACTAAATATCTCAGAGGTTATTTTTATTCAGCTAAATAAAAAATTAAATTTTGTAAAAATAATCTTGTATGGTCCTTCGACAGGCGTAGATTTTATAAAAATATTTTTCTATGGTCCTTCGACAGGCATGGATTGTTTTAAAAATATTTTTCCATGGTCCTTAGAGAGGCCTGGATATTTCTATGGTCGTGGATTTAGAAAAAAAAAATAAGGTCCTTCGACAGGTGAGGATTTTTTTTAAATATACCTTTAAGGTCCTTCGACAGACGAGGATTTTTTAAAGATTTTTTTCTAAGGTCCTTCGACAGACGAAATTTTTTTAAAGGACTTTTTCTAAGGTCCTTCGACAGGATTGGAGGATTTTTTTTAATATAATTCCAAGGACACCAACAAGGCGTGGATTTTTTAAGAATAATTTCCTATGGTAATAATTTTTTTCAACTTTGTTGCATTTAATTCCTTTGCTGATAAAAAATAATAAGTATCCTCCCCCCAATCCTTACAATGATAATACAAACAAAAAATCGACAAGTGAGCGATGCAACATACCCAACAATTCTCTCATTAACAATTCAGGTCAATAGTCCGCCGACAAGAACAAGAGATTAAGCACAGAAGGCAACAACAACAATAACAAGACGAACATAAAAAAGAAATTATCTTTCTCTCATGCAGAATAATTTCATACATAATTTATGATGATATTAAATGGCAAAATGACTTCCGCATGGAAGTTATGGATGTAAGGACAATGAAAGGATACGGAGAGGGAGGGAGGCGGAGAGCAAAAGAGTTTTCTCATTACACATTAGCATTTATGTTGTTAGATGGTTGGTTGGCTGACTGGCTGGCTGCCTGGTTTGTTTGTTTACAACGTGAAGAAAACAAACAACAACAAAGCAAAGCAAGCATTCCAATCATATCGGCCACTGACTGACGATGTTTCAGGAATGGGAATTATTTTTCACATGCGTCCTTACAAGGTTTGGATTTTTTTCAAGCGTGAATTTTTAAAAGTAATTTACGAAGGTCTACTTTCAGATGTGCATTTTTAAAAATGTTTTCAGAAGCCTATTTTCAGGCGTGAAAGCTTTAAAATATGTTTTCTAAAGCCTATTTTAAGGCGTCGATTTTTCAAATATTTTTCTAAAGCTTATTTTCGGGTGTGAAAGCTTTAAAATATTTTTTCTAAAGCCTATTTTAAGGCGTGGATTTTTTCAAATATTTTTCTAAAGCCTATTTTCAGGTGTGAAAGATTTAAAATAAATGTTTAAAGCCTATTTTAAGGCGTGGATTTTTCAAATATTTTTCTAAAGCCTATTTACAGGTGAGAAAGTTTTAAAATAAATTTTTATAGCCTATTTTAAGGCGTGGATTTTTTCAAATATTTTTCTAAAGCCTATTTTCAGGCGCCGATTTTATTAAATATTATTTAAAATATCTTAATATTTAT